TTCCTTTCACACATACACATGGATTCCTGAAATGTCCTAAAAGTTATTTCAAGAACCTTGTTTCAACAGATTTTTCTTCAGCATTTACTCTATTCTAAGTGCTTGAATAAAATACTGAATAAAAATTCATACACTCAAACTTTGTGGAAAGTATAGCCTCACAGGAAAGAGAACAACTGATGAAAATCACCAAGGTGGCAGAAGCGCAAGGCATGTCTACGGAGGGTGACATTGGGTAGAATACAAGGTAATAATGAGGAGATTTGTCCTAATAAAAGGAAATTAGGGGATGGAGAATCTGGGAATTCCTTTGGAGAACAATGCTGGAGCTGAGAAGGAAGGATAGCTATTGGGGAACAGAGAGGGGGGAAAAGGTCTTATATGAAGGTGTGAGTGATGGAAAAAGCCACGCAAGTGTCCAGAGATTGGGAACTTGAGGGGACCAGGCAGAGTAGAGAATGAAGCCTATTATAAAATAAACTGGGAAATGTTGGTAGAAGTTTAATATACAATCTCTTCCAGGCCATGAAGAGGGCTGGCTGCATGCTCAGAATAGAAGGGTGGCATTGATGATGTGAAGCTCTGAATTGACAAACATGTAGACATATGCATGGCTATTTATATGAATACTATATGATGCCTTTTAAGCAAGATGGTTTTACATTATCTCTCACAGACTCTTGTTGGGCAGGGATGGCAGCTGGGAAGGGATGGGCAAATCTGCAAAAATTTGAACATGCGTATAGCAAAACACAAAACAAAACAAGCAACCAAAAAAGGAAAAAATAAGGTAATAAGCCCCTGTAAGAAAAGATATTCAGGCTCTGTCCTTTTTGACATAGTAGGGATCGATTGCCAGAGCAAAAAAGATAAACAAAAAAAGATATCAAAATCCCTGAAGCTGAAGAAAAACAGAATGTGGCTGTTGACCTAAAACCAACAAGAAAATCTAGATGGTGTGTGAGAAACTGGCTCAACCACAGCAGATGACTGATCCAGCAGCCTCTCCAGATGCAGAGGACTGGTCCTCACGGCAGGTGTCTCTCTGCCACAGTGGTCAGAGTGTAGCCTTCAGCAGAAACATCTCAGTCAAAGGGAAAATCATTGCAGAGGCGAGTAGGAAGCATCTGGCTGGATAGGAGATTCTTTCCACATAAATAAATACCTTTGGGGACAGTTCCTGAACCCAGAGCAGTAGAGATGCAATTTTTATATATGTCAACTATCAAAACACTTTTAGTTCTTCTTTGGCTGATTTTGGAAGCAGCATTGACAAGCTTAGATTAAGTTGGTATAATTTAAGATCATCAAATCTGGACTCTTACCAACAGGGAGGAGGAAGCTCAAGACTTTCGGTTGCTGGACTTTTTACTAATGTTGCCCCTTGATAATGTGACATATTAAATGGAAAAATAAATATAGAAGAAATAACAAAGTATTTTACCACATGGTGACTAAGCTGGCATATTTTCATAGTGATCAGGTCCAATCTAATTTTATGTGCTTTCAATTTTGTTATTTGTACTTACCCTTGGTTTCTAAAATTTCTACCATAAACATTGCTGCTTTTGTTAAATCAAAGATAAGTATTGATTTCTCTTAGGCAATGGCTGCTTATGTAGCTTGAATCTAATTCTCTTGTTGAGAAAAATCACAAAACCTGAGAGACAGGGAAACTGAAATATCCGTCTGAAGGCCGAGGAGAGCTATCGAGCTGTGAGTTCCCATAGAGTGAAATGAAGAGGTGAACCATGAGCCCTGACCTAAGACTTGGGTCTGCTTTTCTTACTGAGACAAGTGCAAATTCTGAAATAAAAATGTTGGGGCACAGCTTAGAGGCAATTTGATTTACAAAAACTAAAAAGGAAAAAGTAAAATTCACAGCACACCTAGGCTGGGAGTCTGATAAACAGCCAGGGCTCTTCCCAAAGCACTAAATGTTATATCCTGGAAGTAAAGGAGAAAAGAGAAGAGACAACTTTCAAAAGAAAAGAACCTCAGTTTTGATGCACTTAGTTCTGTCTCAAGAGGTATTACCTGCCAAAGATTAATAAATTGTGTCTGGAGGAGGATAAAATCACTTAGACTCTTAAATGCATAAAACCAAATTTGATTTTTATTTATTTTTTCAAATTGACAAATAATAGATATATGTATTTTAGGGGTTGTACATATTTTAGGGGTTATTTGGATAATTTTATATATAATGTAATCAAACTAGGGTATCCCCTTAAATATTGGTCTGTTCTTTGTGCTAGGAACCTTGGAATTATTCTATCCAAGTTATTTTGAAATATACAGTATACTCATGTTGCCTACAAACACTGCACTGTCATGTTGAACACCATGTCTTATTTTTCTATCTAAAATATATTTGTACACATTAATGAACCAATTGTCATCCTTGCCCTTCTCATTATCTGGAAGTCACCAAACTACTCTCTATCTTGGCGATATCCACTCTTTCAGGTCCCACGTGTGTGTGAGAACATGCACTATTTTGATTTCCTGTGCTTGTTCTATTTATTTTAAAATAATGACCACAGTTCTTCCCATGTTTCTATACATTACTGGAGTTTATTCCTTTTCATGGCTGAATAGTATTCCATCGTGTATGTATAATTATTCATTCATTCATTCATTGGCAGACATTTAGGGTGATTCCATATTTTGGCTATTATGCAGAGTGCTGCAAAAACACAGAAGTACGGATATGATTTCTGTGTGCTGATTTTCTTCCTTTTTAGATATATTCTCATTGGCAGATTTGCTGGATTTTATGATAGCTCTGTTCTTAGTAATTTGAGGACTCTCCAAACCATGGGATGAGGTGGCATCTCATTGAGGTTTGGATTTGCCTTTCTTTGATGATCAATAGTGTTGAAGATTTTTTTCACATACCTATTGATGATTTGTATGACTTCTTTTGAGAGATATCTATTCAGATCTCTCATGTGTTTTTAAATTGAATTATTCACATTGTTTTAGTTTTTCCTGTTGATTTGATGAACTCCTTGAGAACCTTATACATTCTAGTTATTAATCTTTTGTTACAGGAATAGTTAGCAAATACTTCATCCCCTTCGGTCAGTTGTATCTTCATTTTGTTGATTGTTTCTTTGCACGTTACAAACTTTTACCAAGAGGTGGCCAAACATAGAGAATATTCTGTAAATATTTTGTAATATTTTGCAATGGCTATTTGGTAAATAAAGGTATATTTACCTATAATTTCCCATTTTTTCCTATATATTTCAAATTTAGGGATGACTTTTGGGACACCCCAATGAAACGTGTTCTCCCATCGGCATTATGTTTCTGAGACATATTCATATTTTATGGAGTAGTCATTTATTCATTTCCACAGTATATAAATATACCAGATATACTGGATAATTTACTTATGAAAAATAAATTTCATTCCTTGATTTTATGAGTTAGTATACATTTGCCTCATTGAGGAGTTGTGCCTATTAGAAATAGTGGTATTGTTAGTAAGACTACATTTGGCAAATACTGCTAAATATTTTTCCAGAGTAATTGTACCAATGAAGCTCCACCAGCCATGTATGAAACTGCTAGTTCTTTCACATTCTTTTAAACAGTTCGAGTTTTCTGCCTTTTTTTTTTTTTAATTTTAGCCATGAAAGTATGTTTTCAATGGCAGAAACCTAGGGTTTAGCTTTGTATTGTCTAGAGAACTAACGTAGTTCCATATCATTTCATATTTCATAGGGTTAATTACAAACGGATAGGACAATCACCCATTATTATACTCTTCTTTTACAAAGAGAAATACATTACTTATGGAAATTATTTTCTCCTATGCACATTTTAAATCTTTCAAGATATTCAGCAGGAAAATTGATTTTATTCCATTGATTCTAACTATAGATTAAGCTAGAGAAAATATATCTATATTGGGCTTGTAAGAAATGTTTTTATGTTTTTTTTAAACTTTACTATAAGTACATTTGTATTTGAATATTTATGGCAGTTCAATGCACACTTGGACAGATGTAGAAACAACTCAAGTGTCTATCAACTCATGAATAGATCAATAAACTATGTTACACCTATAAATATACCTTGGAATATTAGCTGGTGATTAGGATGGTGATTTATACTTTTCATATTTA